ATAAAGGTAAAGAAAAGAAGAATAGAAAAAAAGATTTAAAGTCTGGTTTATCACAACAAGAAAACAATGTCTTGATGACACTTGCTAAAGTTGGACAGACAAGTCATCTAGCCAAAAGATTCAAACGCTGTGTTCTGTCAATATGCAAGCATGCAAGCATAAAGCTGTCGTTTCACATCATAGCAGATACACTTGGAAAACGCACTTGTGAGGATACATTCAATGAAGCTGGCAAAGTGTGTAAGAATGGTTTGAATGTGACATATTATGATGTTGACAAGGTCTCCAAAAAGGTGGAGCCAATCACAAAAGAAATTCAGGTGTGTGATTGATACTGACCAGGTTTCCATGGCAATCGTGTTGGAGGTGCCAAATGGCATCCGGTCACTTCACTCCACAGATAGATTGCTCCAAGTCAGTTCACTCCAATGCGTATATAGATTATTTCTTGTTCTTTCGTCCTCTGCCAAGCCCAACTTGGTTAGCTGAGGTAGTGAATGTGGCCTGTGTGGAGCAATCTAACTTTTAATTGGAGCAAACTGACTTGAAGCGATCTAACCAAGGAGCAAAATGACGGTAATTCTTCCAGACAAATGAACCTCCAATAATAACTTTGGGAGTAAAATCTGTGAGAGGGGTAAACTACTTATTGTAAATGGACCTGTTGAACCTCTCCATAATGGCCGCCTTGAGGGGAGAGGGGAAAGTAATTGTTGTAGAGAGAGAACCATTACTGGAGGTTCCACTCTTTACTTCAAACACATTGTACTTTCATTTCCATGTACACCAAATAGTTATGTTTTCCCCAGAGGTTCTGTTTATCACTTCATGCAGAATGAGTAAATTCTCAAGTAAACCTGAAAGTTTCGGCACACACACACAAAAAGAAAAACAGAAAGCAGGGGCACTATTCACAGAATAATAAAAAATGATAAAACAATTATTCCTCTATCACAACCAACATGAACTGCCCATTATATGTTCATGTTTAACTTGAAAAGTCCAATTCAACCATTATTTCTCCAATAAAGGTAAGTAAGTTTGAGAAAGTCAGTTTCTAAATGTTGATACTTGTATTAAATAGCACACTATTTTCTTTCCAGGATTTGTTCAGTAGCAGCAGTCATTCATATTACAACCAACCCTTATTCTTTTTATCCACTGCAATACATCATGTCTTACCCCAAAGCATGACGCGTGTCATCTCACTGGATTCAGACCTGCTTTTCAAGACAGACATAAAGCAACTGTTTGCAATTTTTGAGAACTTTAAAGCCACCACTATTTTTGGGTTAGCAAGGGAGCAGCAGCCAGTCTACAGACATATTTTGCACATGTACCGCGACAGAAATCCCGGCACCAAAGTTGGTGAACCACCTCCAGATGGACTCACAGGTTTTAACAGTGGTGTTATCTTAATAAACCTACGCAACATGCGTGAATCAAGGATTTATAACCTTCTTTTACACAACAATGCGGTAAAGGAGATTGCAGACAAGTACACCTTTCAGGGACATCTTGGGGACCAAGATTTTTACACATTGCTCAGCTTGGAATACTCTGCTCTTTTCTACATTCTCCGCTGTTCATGGAATCGCCAGCTTTGTACATGGTGGAAAGACCATGGTTATGCACAAGTTTTTCATTCTTACTACAACTGTTCTGAGCCTATTCATGTTTACCATGGAAACTGTCAAACAAAAATGCCCGATGAGTAAGTAATTCAGATCAGAGGAACATAAGAATCTGATTTTCTTGTTAGACGCAAAGATTACAGTCTGTCCAGGTGAGGACATTTTTTCTGCGTGGCATGACTTTTTCGTATTACATGATGTTCACTCACAACGTGTTTATCTTCAAAAGGAAAGCTTATCGTGTCGATTGCATCTAAAACAACTGGTCCAAATTTCTCCTGATCATATTTTATCTTCAGCTGATAAACAGCAGCCATGCTGACAGTTCTATGGCTGACAAAAAGCGCAATAAGCTTTCCTCCTGAAGATAAACATGTTGTGAATGAACATAATAATCATAATAGTACGAAAAAGTCATGATGCCACACAGAAAAAATGTTCTCACGTGGTGCATTTCAATGTACTACATGATTGGTTTGAAACAAACTCGCAGCATCGAAAACATTACTCTGAAGGTGGCAAAAAAATTGTGGGTGTCGTGGTCTACTGGGAAGAGTAGTAGTTCTAATTTGATGATGATGATGATGGTAACAATGTTTTCATAACACCAAGTATTTAGTCCTAGGTATCATTTTTCTCTCTGGTCATTGAAGATGTCTGCCCAGCTGTCAATCAGATGTAATAATCTACCGTAAATTGAAGCATGTGGGTGGCTATGTCAAGAGGGCTGCCCAAGAGTGCAGCACATGAAGTCTTGCTAAAGTTGAAACCCGACATCTTAAATCTTGAGGCCTGGTAGTGACTAATGATTGTGCAACTCCCTTTGAAATATGCGAACTTGCCCATGTTAATAAACATATTACCAGTAGTGTCTAACCCAAGCTTTTAGCCAAAATTGGAAAAGTAGGTGTCCAAAATGTGCCAATGGTCTACTCAAATGCATAATTTATAAAGTGACATGTGAAAAGATAAGACAATTTTCTTTCAAAAGTGGGCATCCACAGGATGCCTGAACACCCATCTGGTAAAAAGCCTGATCCATCCCATACGTTCTTTTGGTTGCTTGTGAATATGTGATGAGCAAAGAGAATATCAGCGTAGGAGGCTGCGAAACTATCAAGCTCATTCTAAGGATATCTCTTCCTCTCTCCCCCAAGCGCAAAAAGAGACAGTGACAAAAGATTCATTGGGAAGGATCTCTCCTGATGATTTTGTTTTGTCAGCAAGACACATGACTTGCCCTGACCAGGGTGTGTCTGTCCCACTATTGGCTGCAGAAAGAAGAGATGCCCGAAGAAAGAGGAAACTATAGGAGCAGGTGGATTGGTTGTCACTTGCATAGCATTTCCATTTCTCAATAGAGTGGTTTTCAATTGAGTGTCGTAAAAACAAAACCAGAGTAATTACCCTACCCAATCACAAAGGACACAGACAATACAGTAAGCAAATCAAAACTCAAAGTAATTAAGGTAGCTGACGCAAAGCACGGGAAAATGCATTCAAATGCATCACAATTGGTTTTGGTTGTACTTCTGATTGGATTGCGCAAGTTTTTTAAGCCAATCGTGTGGCGTAGAAAGTGCAAAACCATTTACTTTTCGACACTCAAATGAAACCGCTCTGTTATAAAAGCTATTAAATTAACGAAGAAAGCTTCAATTCTTAAAGTAGGCAGAGCTTAAAGGAACAGCAATGCAAGTAGTTGCTCTGTGTACTGCAATCCCCCTCCCCCTCCCCCTCCTCTGCCCCTCCCCTTCCCCCTTAGTCTGGGGTGTTCTACACTACCACAGCCATACCCTGGCCATGCAATAAACATTTTGATACACACATTTTGGAATGATTGTTTAATTTTATTTGAAGGTTTCCAGGTATATTATAATAATGCTTGTAAAATAGTATAAGAATTCCTGTATAATAATGATAACATGAAGGACTAACAAGGTGTTATATAGTATTGATAAAGATATGATAGTATTATTTTATCACTTGTGTGTTTACACATTTTGCTATATTTGATGCAGCGTTTGCAGATTTTAGCCAAGTTGTAAAAAATCCTGTTATTCCAACAAATTATCATGTCTGAACAGATTCCTCTCTAAAAGAAATAAAGCAAATCAGAGAAATGTACTTAGGAAGAGTTTTTGTGTTGATATTTTCTGTGTGGTCAGTTTTCTCAAAATACCTGATCAGGTAGAGGTTGCTGGGAATGAAATTGAATCATCCCTTCTTTATGTGTTTATACAATGAATATTTGTGTCTTAAATAACTAGTTGGCCGATTTTCTTTGTTTTCTTTTACTGACATGATTGCTACAATATTTGTCAAATTAGCCTTTTTATGCCGGTTAACGCCTCTCATTTACAGTACAGTAAAATTCAACGTGGATGCGAGGTAATTTCTTCCTGAAAATACAATTTGCGTGAGAGAGGGTAGCTTGGAACAAGCCGCCATCTTCTCAGGACGATTGCAGTGGAACTCCGCCTTATGGTTACCTCGTTATTACGGCAATTTCTTTTTGTCCCGCCCATACATTTTCTTATAAGAGAACCCCGTGAATGCGGCCACTCCGTTGATATGGCCAGCGGCCACACTCTGAAATCCCAACCTGTATAATCCTTTATAATTTTACCCCGTTTATATGGCCATTCAAACCAGTTATGTTTATCTTTCTGTTGTTAATAGTGTGTGTACTGTTTGAAGTTTCCCGAGGGGGGGAGGGTGCTCGTCGTACCTTTCAGGGGTTAACAAAGTGGTTTTGGTACCTCTCAGGGTGTTGAGCCTTAAAAGGTCCACAGTGGGAACTATGGCGGTACCTTCATGGGTATTAAGCTGAACAATATGAGAGGAGGTAATGTGTTGCCTTAGAATTGGTACCTCTTAGGGGTGAAAAAAATTTAAGCCACGTCCAGAAAACAGGATCTTGGTACATCTTTTTCCGCCACGCACCCCCGTCCTTTGTTTTTGGGAGTCCCTCCCCGGGCAAAGTAGATGTGCTAAGCTTATTATACGGCTACTACTCCGAAGAGAAGAAAACCCGTTTTTTAATCATCGAGAAAAAAACCTTTAAGGTCATTCCTCACATTTGCATTGCCCATCCTTATTGCGCATAATTTATGGCGTCATTAGCGCGCGCTCGTGCACGCGCGTATTGAAAACATGACGGATTTGCCTTGATATTAAGCTCT